AGAGTGGTATGATATGAATATGACAGCCTTATGATGCAACCTTTGCAGTGGAATCTATGCTACAGGGATATTGCCAAGAAGCACAGTAATCAGATAGAGCGTAACCAAACCTTGGACTGTTATGACATGGTGAAGCTACATAATAGTTATAACCTCTTTAGTTTGCCATTATGCCATAGTACATATAAACTTGTCATAACAGCCATAGCCTTACTTTATAGTACCCAAAGCTTGTCAGTATATTATAGTGGCCATATTAATGTAGTGCACTTATGCTTCTTTTGTCTACACATATGCTACAAATAAAGATCTTGTGTTGTTTTTATTTGTTTCCCCACTGTTTTGTGGAATTAAAAATTGTCGCTTGGGAGCTCTTTTTCAAAATTTAGCAAACTTGTGTTCTTGCATAACAATGAAATTCCTTTTGTGTTTATATATTTCATTCAATTAAGTGCAAAAACTTGTTGAGCCTTGAATTAATATTACCATCACAAGTAATCCAACAGACATACTTTTACTGTTTCTGTGGGATAAATAAAAAATTAAAACATAATAAAATAATATATATATATATTAATAAAAATTGGCATAGGGTATACTACATTCAATTTAACCCAGTAGTTGTTGTGTAACATTGAACCACAACCACACACTCGTTCTGATTGATGTAATAACTTTACTGAAGTTTTTAAAATGATGTTCAACATCATAAGTACTAACATGCATAAAGACGGTTTGTCTTTGAAACATTCTACAAGATTAAAATTCCACCTGTGGTGGATGTAAAAGGGGTCTGTTGGAGCTGAGGCTACCCCAAAATGTGCCTTAACCTTCTCTGTGGTCCCCTTACCCAACTAAAAGTGCTTACTGTAAAAACTGATTTACTTCCAAAATATTACAGTATGAATGCCCACTATATGCAGGGTGCAGCCCCCTCTTTTTTTCCTATCCCACCCCTGCCCCTTCAGCAGGAAAAGAGGTTCCCAGTCTTACAGTTTATAAAGCTAAAAACCAGGTTTTGATATTAATGATGGGCACAGCACAGAAAGCCTATTGTGTTGCTTTATGCTTAACAACAAACCAACAAGTGAGAAAAAGCTAGTGTCACCCTTGAATTCCGTTAAGGCAGTACTTTGACAAGGAGCACGTGTAAGCATATGAAAGGGTTAACATTCATAAGCATCCTAATATTTTTAAAATCTCTTAAGTAATTGCTTATTTAAATCATTTTGATTGAAACTTCTTCATTTCATCTCTCTCATTTCTGCATTTAGGGCGGCTCTTACATCAGCACGAACCACAGCTAACGCCATCTATTGCCCTCCTAAGCTACAGGCCGCTCTAGACCTCCAGGCTGGAATTCTCCATGCTGCTGATGAGAGAGACTTCAAGACTGCCTTTTCTTATTTTTATGAGGCATTTGAAGGATATGATACATTGGACAACCCAAAGGCATTAATTGCTCTTAAATACATGCTTCTTTCAAAAATAATGCTAAATGTGTAAGTTATTTTGTCTGTATTGAGCTTCTTTTCTTTGTCTTTTTTCTTTTACACTGATAATGAATATGTATAGTTTAAAATATTAAATACCATGTAAGAAATTATTAATTAATTATTGTAAAATGTAATTACTCATTAAGAGTTGAAGAGAGAGAGAGAGAAGAAAAAAAAAAAGTTGTCGCATAATATCTAAACAGGCTAAGGATCGTGTCTGAAAATTTAGGTCACATATTATAACGTAAGACGAACTTACTGAAAAAATATATTTCAGACCTGATGATGTCCAGTCAATAGTGATGGGAAAGCTGGCTCTAAGGTATGCTGGCTCTGAAACAGAAGCAATGAAAAAAGTAGCTCAAGCCAGTCATAAACGATCTTTAGCAGACTTTAAAAAGGTTAGTCATTTTGTGACTGTAGTCCTTTCTTTTATATTTTAGCCACTGTATATAGTGCTTCATTTTCTGTATTGATTTCACATCTTATGTAGTGTACCACAGCCCATCACTTCTGTATCTTTTTAATATCTTAGCAAGTGTACTCCAGCTCTTTATGTTAACTATCCTTTTCGGGTGTGGCATGCTTGTTAAGTTATGTAAGATAAGGAAATTGAAGATATGTCATACACTGACTAACATATCAAAAGGATATGGAAAATGAAAGACTGTGGCATGCTTGTTAAGTTATGTAAAGCTGTGGTAGTCTTTCATTTTCCATATCCTTTTGATATGTTAGTCAGTGTGTGACATATCTTCAATTTCCTTATCTTTTTCATATGTTAATCATTGCACCACATCTCATCATTTTAAATCTTTTCATAACATAGCAAGTGTAATGCATCTCTTATTTTTCTGTATCCTTATCATATATTGGCCAGTTCATTTTCTTCTTATCAAAGATTTTACTTTTCACCCTTCTTTCTGATTAACTTGCTGTAAATAGTGTGTAAGAGTTTGGTTAAAATATATTGATGTATTTAATATATTCATCATGCATTTGTAATTGGAAAACTGTCCCAACTTATCCATTTTCTATATTCTAGTTTATAACATTTATAGATGTTTCTTAAAAGAAAATACTAGAATCACTTATCAGGGTGTATTTTACAGCTGCTATATCGTACTTTGCACTCAAGTTTTGTTTTTGTAACATCAAGACACATGATAGTGTGTCTTGCAGCCAAAAAAACAACCTGCAGGACACACTGTGTTATTTATAGGAGTGATAGTTTAATGATTTTCCCACCTTCTGTAGCTTGGACTGTGGTAATCCAAACTATCACATATTTTCAGTGTATGTGCTCTACTGGACTCTTACTTCACATACCAAATTTCAAGGCAGTCTATTAAGAAATACCTGAAATATCTCCAATTTTAATTGTGTTTCTTTCATTTTTTTCATAATTAACTTTTATGGATTTGTTTCAAATTTGGTACACTGATAGATCTTTACAATCTACATATACCACATGTGCAAAATTATTAAACGAAAACTGCTCCAATTTAACCAAACCTTTTGCTCATGCCTACACAAAAAGTCACGTGAGCTATTGGCCTAACATTTTTACTACAGCTTCACCTAAGAGTAAAAGTGGACAGTTTTTAGTTTTTTGTCATTCAGATTAAAGATGGCTGACTTATAGCAGCAAAACTATAAGGTGAAAGGACATGCAGATACATAAGTATTGGTTAGGCCAAGCAAATTAAATTAGCAGTTTCTTGCTTGAATTTTCAAAATAATCATATGGTTATTATTGATTATTCATTGTCAACTTTTCAGCACAAATTTACTAAATTTTATGAAATTATTTTAACTAAAGAGCATTTAGCAGCATGTGATATTAGCTTAAGCAATAACCATAAATAATGATGCTTAATATGACTGTACCGATTGCATAGGGGTAATGACAAGAAACTGTTAATCTAAATTTCATGGAGTTATTTTAAAGGAAGCTGTTAACACTGTATTTTTGATTAAACTTAAATGTGAACTGGTTGTCTGAAATTTATATAAGTGTATATCTATGTATTTTCATATTTAAAAAACCTAAATTATCATTTGTCTTAATATTTCAAAATTTTTATTGAAGGCACCAGTAGTTTGACAGACTTTGAGATTGGTGTAACTTGCTTCGTATCCAGGCAACAGAAATAGCATCTCAATGATGCACCTAGAGTTTATACAAAAAGACGATATGTTATCACTGATTGAACAAATCTTATATATATGTGTAATAATGAAAAATTGTTTTTCAAGAAATTATATAAGTAGCCCGGCATGGCCAGGTGGATAAGGCACTCGACTCACAATCTGAGGGTCGCGGGTTCGAATCCGCATCCCACCAAACATGCTCGCCCTTTCAGCCATGGGGGCGTTATAATGTGATGGTCAATCCCACTATTCGTTGGTAAAAGAGTAGCCCAAGAGTTGGCGGTGGGTGGTGATGACTAGCTGCCTTCCCTCTAGTCTTACACTGCTAAATTAGGGACGGCTAGCGCAGATAGCCCTCGTGTAGCTTTGCGCGAAATTCCAAAACAAACCAAGAAATTATAAGTACATTTTAAAGATAAAGAGCTTATGATATTTCTCTTTTTTTTTTAAGTCATGTTTTCACAATACAAAAAAATAAGATTTTTCTAATTTAACAAATTTTACATGTGGAATAAGAATTATGAAACAGAAACCTTTAATATTATGATATATTATCATAATTATGTATGTAGATTTATTCCATAAATCATGTTTGAAATCACTAACAACTTTGAGGCAGAAAGGTTAGGTAAGCCTATGAAAATGATTCTCAGCAGGAATCTAATGGTTCTGACTGGAATGAAAAGAATACAGGTCACATTCTGTAAAGTTTAGATAAGTCTGTGGTTCTGACTGGAATGAAAAGAATACAGGCCACATTCTGTAAAGTTTAGATAAGTCTGTGGTTCTGACTGAAATGAGAAGAATACAGGTTACATTCTGTAAAGTTTAGATAAGCCTATGAAAATGATTCTCAGCAGGAATCTAATGGTTCTGACTGGAATGAAAAGAATACAGGTTACATTCTGTAAAGTTTAGATAAGCCTATGAAAATGATTCTCAGCAGGAATCTAATGGTTCTGACTGGAATGAGAAGAATACAGGCCACATTCTGTAAAGTTTAGATAAGTCTGTGGTTCTGACTGAAATGAGAAGAATACAGGTCACATTCTGTAAAGTTTAGATAAGCCTATGAAAATGATTCTCAGCAGGAATCT